AGTTGTTCAGGGTGGTGAAAACCAGTGAGGATTGTGAGGCACTCCAAGGGGATCTGTCAAGGATGGGCGAGTGGGCGTCAACATGGCAAATGGGGTTCAATGTGGCCAAGTGCAAGGTGATGCACATTGGAGCCAAAAATCCTAAATATAAATACACATTGATGGGGTCTGAACTGGCAGAGACTGAGCAAGAGAGAGATCTTGGAGTTGTAGTGGATAACTCACTGAAAATGTCGAGACAGTGTGTGACTGCAATAAAGAAGGCCAATGCTATGCTGGGGATTATTAGGAAGGGTATTGAAAACAGATCAGCCAATATAATAATGCCCCTATATAAATCAATGGTGAGACCTCATTTGGAATACTGTGTGCAGTTCTGGTCACCACACCTTAAAAAGGATATTATAGCTTTGGAAAAAGTGCAGAAAAGGGCAACTCGAATGATAAAAGGGTTGGAACACTTTCCCTATGAGGAAAGGTTAAAGCGCTTAGGGCTCTTTAGCTTGGAGAAAAGACGACTGAGGGGTGACATGATCGAGGTTTATAAGATTATGCATGGGAAAGAGCAGGTAAAGAAAGAGGTACTTTTCTCCCTTTCTCACAATACAAGAACTCGTGGGCACTCCATGAAACTGCAGAGCGGTCGGGTTAGAACGGATAAAAGGAAGTACTTCTTCACCCAAAGAGTGATTAACACTTGGAATTCACTGCCACAGGAAGTGGTGGGTGCTACAAGCATGGATGGCTTCAAAAGGGAATTAGATAAGCATATGGAGCAGAGGTCCATCAGTGGCTATTAGCCACAAGGTATAGCTAGGGGCTCTGGGGCAAGTGATGCTCTGTCTTCTTGGTGCTTGGGGGGGGTCAACAGTGGGAGGGCTTCTAATGTCCTGGCCCCACTGCTGGACCTCCTGATGGCACTGGTATTTCTGGCCACTGTGTGACACAGAGTGTTGGACTGGATGGGCCTTTGGCCTGATCCAACATTGGCGTCTCTTATGTTCTTATGTTCTCTTAAAGCCTCTGACAACCAGTTTCAGGTACAGCCAGGGATTGTCACAAATTGCTTTTACTGTGACTACATCCGCCCACCGTTGGACAATCAGTCACAAAGACTTCAGCTTGACCCACCGGACAACCCAGTTGCAAATGACTGCTTTGGTGCCGTATCCAGCGATGTGTGGATGCAGCCCAACTCAGCTATCTGTCCGTCAAGATCGATGCTGTCGATGCCGACCGGCAGTGGAGTCCCCCAAGTTCTCACACAGCCACCTTTCCAAGCTCTGCCGTTGGCAATGTCAGAAACTGAGCAAGGGCCTCCTATGGCGCGGTACGTGCCCCGTCTGCCATGGAGTAACGGTGGCGGGAAGTGCGGTCAAGGCACAGCTAACGTACGGGTGACCCCTCGTGGGGTATTCAAGGCAAGGGACGAACAGAGGTGCTTTGCTAGTGCTTGCTTTCGCCTGGCCTTCCTTGGTGGTCCCCAAGCACCAACCAGGGCTGACCGCTTCCAAGATCCAATGAGATCGGGCTAGCCTGGGCCATCATCCAGGTCAGGGCCCAAAGAGTGATGATCCAGGGCTCTTTTTGTGGCAGGAGCTCCTTTGCATATTAGGCGACACCCCCCCTAATGTAGCCAATCCTCCAAGAGCTTACAGAGCTCTTCTTACGGGGGCTACTGTAAGCTCTTGGAGGATTGGCTACATTAGGGGGGGTGTCGCCCAGGGCTCTTTTCGTAGCAGAAGCTCGTTTGCATATGAGGCGATACACCCCTAATGCAGCCAATCCTCCAAGAGCTTACAGAGCTCTTCTTACAGGGGCTATTTGTAAGCTCTTGGAGGATTGGCTACATTAGGGGTGTGTCGCCCAGGGCTCTTTTTGTAGCAGGAGCTCCTTTGCATATTAGGCAACACACCCCTAATGCAGCCAATCCTCCAAGAGTTTACAGAGCTCTTCTTACAGGGGCTACTGCAAGCTCTTGGAGGATTGGCTACATTAGGGGTCCAGGGCTCTTTTTGTAGCAGGAGCTCCTTTGCATATTAGGCGACACCCCTCCTAATGTAGCCAATCCTCCAAGAGCTTACAGAACTCTTCTTTCAGGGGCTACTGGAAGCTCTTGGAGGATTGGCTACATTAGGGGTGTGTCGCCCAGGGCTCTTTTTGTAGCAGGAGCTCCTTTGCATATTAGGCAACACACCCCTAATGTAGACAATCCTCCAAGAGCTTACAGAACTCTTCTTACTGGGGCTATGGTAAGCTCTTGGAGGACTGGCTGCACTAGAGGTGTGTCGCCTCATATGCAAAGGAGTTCCTGCTACAAACAGAGCCCTGGCCCTTTCCAAAGCAAAGGTGGCAACCAACGGTCCCTCTAAGCTGTGGAGTCCTGTGAGCAAAAATTCTACTTGGTGAGCTGCCGGCATTAAAGTTGTGAGCAGGCGATTTGGCCGCTGCATCAATCAGTTTGCTCTGGAGCCATCCCTTCCTGAGCTAGGACAATAATGTGTGAGCTGGAGGCTCAAAAACTGTGAGCTAGCTCACACTAACTCAGCTTGGGGGGAACACTGGTGGCAACCGCAAATGGGGTTTCCAGGAAGCGATCAAGTCTATTGATCCAAGGTCTTTACTATTCATGCACTGCCAGTGGACTCTTTAAAAAGGAGGAGGAGGAGGAGGAGGAGGAGGAGGAGACTGGATTTATATGGAAAACCTTAGGAAGAAGAAGAAGAAGAAGAGGAGGAGGAGGAGGAGGAGATTGGATTTATACCCCGCCCTTCACTACCCGAAGGAGTCTCAGAGCGGCTTACAAACTCCTTTCCCTTCCCCTCCCCACAACAGACACCCCGTGAGGTAGGTGGGGCTGAGAGGACTGCTCGTGAGAGAACAGCTCTGAGAGAACTTGTGACTGACCCAAGGTCACACCAGCAGCTGCACGCGGAGGAGTGGGGAATCAAACCTGGTTCTCCCAGATCAGAGTCCGTGCTCCTAACCACCATGCCAAACTGGCTCTCGGCAGCTCTTACCTTGCTGCAGTAGGAGGTCTGTGGTCATCATGTTGAGATGAAGGGAAAAAGTGAAGTGAAGAAGGGAAGAAGCCACAAAATTGTTTGAGGTTTAATTCGAGTCCAGTAGCACCTTAGAGACTAACGAGATTTTCAGGGTACGAACTTTCGAGAGTCAAAGCTTCGTCAGATAGGGATCTCTGTTCGTACTTGTATCTAACGAAGGGAGCGTTGACTCTTAAAAGCTCAGATCTCAAAAATCATGCCTGTCGCTGAGGGGCTCCTGGACTCGAACCTAACTTATCCCCCTTCAGATGCTAATCGCCTGCACCTGAGCATTTCTCCCTTGCTCGAATCTAGGAGACTGAATTTTGCATCGCACCTCTGTATCCTGGCTCCCTTCTTTGCAAACACCCCTCCCAACCTTCTGACTGGGATATAAAGACTTAGGGATCTCCATTCCTACTTGCATCTAACAAAGGGACTCTTGACTCACAAAAGCTCATACCCTGAAAACCTTGCTGGTCTCAAAGGCGCTACTGAACTCAAATACAGCTCTTCTACTGCAGATCAACACGGAATAGCTTGGGGTTAGTAAAAGTGTCCCGGAGAAGAGGAGCAGGCCAAGATCAACCCATAGCCAGAGAGGTGCAGCCGTTCCCAAGATCTGCCACCAGATGGGTTAAAGGGATGCCAGCGGTTCAATATCCTGGCGCTCTTACCTTGCTGCCGTAGGGAAACAAAGTGCCAAAGAGCATGGCGCCACCTAGTGGCTGAGACCTGCAAGACACAGTTCGAAAAGGCTGATCGGCACAGTCGGCGACGTGGCGGAGCTGCGTTCGGGTTCGCATTGGCAGAGGCCCCTTTGCGACTGCGGCTGGCTGAATGCCGGTGTGTGTTGCCACACGGTATCCAAACAGCCCTACACAACGGCCACCAGGATGGAAGCCTCCAGCTCGGACCTAGACGCTGCCAAGAACTCGCTGGGTGGCTTTTGACAGAGCTCTGCCGTTACCCTAGCTCACAGACCCTCGTATCAAAAGAAATGCTGCTAGTCCTTATGCTACCACTGGACCGTTATTATGCCAGGCTAATACAGCAACCGTTTTGTAATAGTCGTAAACCTCAGCCCGCCTCCTGCAATATTGTCTTGTAAGGTAGGATAAGAATTCAGAATGCCTGAAATGTGTGCTCACGGGTTGTCATTTTCCCCCCCTCCTGTGGATGGAGTTGCAGGCACCCAGGATACTTGCTGCGCGCACACTTTGGGTGTTGCACACATGGGTGTTTTTTATTTTTTAAAAAATCTCCCCTCCCTCTCCTTCTTTGGAGTTTTTAAAGCAGAGGCCATCAGATGGCAATGCTGATTCTGTGAACTCGGATCACGAGAAGGGAGGGCAGGAAGGGTTGCCTCGGTGCTTAGTTCTCGTGGCCCTTTCTGACACGCCCAGGATAGTGCCAATCATGAACTTTGGAGTCAGGAAGGAGTTTTCCTCCAGGCCAGACTTGGCCCAGGGATCCTGGAGTTGTTTTTTTTTTGGCCTTCTTCCAGGCATAGAGCGGGGGGGGGATGTCACTGGGGGAGTAGGGGGGTGAGATAGCTGTGAATTTCCTGCATTGCTCAAGGGGTTGGACTAGATGCCCCTTGGGGTCCCTTCCAGCTCTATGTTTCTATATGTCCTCTGAGAAGCTTGGGGCAGCATACATGGTTCTCCCCTGCTCCATTTTATCCTTCTATCAGCAACCCTGCAGGGTAGGGTTACGCTAAGACAGACTGACTGTCCCCCCAAGGTCAGTCAGTTTCTAGCAAGTTCGATCCGCTATACTACACCGGCACAAACATTGCCGAGAGAAACCCTAGCATGGACTTCTTTTAGTCTGTCCTGTCTGACCTTGCTGGGTTGTCCTTAGATTCTCACCCATTTGCACAATTTATTTCAGGGCAGGGAAAATTCTGTTCCCATTTCCTCCGCCCCAAACCACAAGAGCACCTGGTCTTACCTGAAAAGATCAGCTTCTCTTTCATGATGTTGACATCCCGGCTGGACCGGTGCACCGCCGCGCTCAGCATGATCTGCTCAGGGTTGTAGGTCCTGATGCTACCCAGGCGCCACCTGCAACGGAAACGCACAACGTCAAGAACTCCCCCCTGTGGTCCTTCTGGCGCCATTTCTACCCTCTGAGACGAGCGGTCGCCTGGCTGACCCACAGTCCACACTATGTGCCTTCCACTAGCTGGTACACACACGCACACACACACACACATCTTTGGCTTGCCATAGTAGATAGATCTTTGTCCTACAGTGACAGGGACACAGGACAGTCCCTAGGGCACCTCTAGACAGGACGCCAGCAAAGAAGACATCTTATATTCAGGAGTCATTTCCTGCAGGAGCGCACAGGAGTGGAGCTCCGGCAGTAAAGAGCCCAGGGGGCGGGCACATGCAACAAGCCCCACCCCCTGCTCCCAGCAGCCCTCAGTCAGAGCAAGAAGCAGCCAGGTAAGCTGCAGAGGCCCCCTGGTCCAAAACAGTCCAGTGGCACCTTTAAGACCAAGTTTTATTCAGGTACAGGCTCTCCCTCCTCTGCGAGGACAGATCTGCACGTTCCCCCCCCCCCAATAGCTAGCAATCCAAAACAGTCCAGTGGAGCCTGAGGGGGGGGGGTTGCCTTCTGACACACTTCCGGCGATGTCAGGGTGTGTGGCGTATGCAAATAAGTTATGCTAATGAGTTATGCTAATCAGCTCTTGCACCACTTTTTTCTACAAAATGACCCCTGCTTATATTTATTCATTTAATCCCCTGCCCGTCTCCCGAACGGGGACCCAAAACGGCTTACGTCAATGTCTTCTCCATTTTATCCTCAAGAGAAGAGGAGGAGGAGGAGATTGGATTTATAGCCCACCCTTCACTACCCGAAGGAGTCTCAGAGCGGTTTACAATCCCTTTCCCTTCCCCTCCCCACAACAATCACCCTGTGATTGGTTTTAACATAGTATTTGGTTTTAACATAGTATTTTAATGTTGTGCTTATTATCTATATGTATTTTGGAATTTTGTAAGCCGCCCTGAGCCGGCCTTGGCCGGGAGGGCGGGATAAAAGTTTAACAAACAAACAAATGAATAAATAAATAGGTGGGGCTGAGAGAGCTCCGAGAACTACTCTCGAGAGAACAGCTCTGAGAGAACTTGTGCCTGACCCAAGGTCACACCAGCAGCTGCATGTGGAGGACCCGGTTCTCCCAGATCAGAGTCTGCCAGTCCTAAACACTACACCGACGTGGCTCTCTGAGAGCACATGACTGGCCCAAGGGCATCCAGCATGTTTCCGTGGAAGAGTGGAGATTTTGAACTCCACCGCGCCGGAGTTCAATGTGAGAAGAAAAACATTGACACGGAGAGTCCTCCATCTTTCTGTGTTATACCTCTGAGGATGCCAGTCACAGCTGCTGGCGAAACGTCAGGTCCTACAGTGCCAAGACCACGGCCATACAGCCTGGAAAATCTACAGCAGCTAATGAACTCCGGCTGTGAAAGCCTTTGACAACAAGCACCGAGGCGATTCGTTCCCCGCAGAGACTGGGAAAGGAAACTTGGGAACGGATATTTGGCTGCCTTTTCTAGGGAGGGAGATTGCTGGGGAGGAACGTGAGTTGCTGGGCAACCACCAGCTCCTCCCTTCACTCCAAATCGGGACTCCCACCACCACGTCATTACTTTGTGCAGGACTTAAGCTTCAAACACCCGGGAACCTGCGTCGTTTCTGAATTAAACTGGGAGCCAGAGATAATCCCCCCCCCCCAAAAAAAATTGGTTCCCCTCAAGGAAGGGCATGCATTCTCCCAGCAACAGTTAAAAACAACTGTTCTGTATTGCCTCCTCCAACTCTTTGCCCCAGTCAAGGAATCCTCTGGGACAGGACCATGTTTTCCAGACGGGGGCAACGCCAGGGCTATTTTTGGGCAGGAACGGAGTTCCGGCTGGCTTCCAAGTTGGCCACGCCCAGCAGGAACTCATCAGCATAATAGGCCACACCCAACAGCAGGAACTCATTGGGATTGGCTACATTAGGGGTGTGTGGCCTAACATGCAAAGGAGTTCCTGCTACAAAAAAGCCCTGGGTTTGGACAACAAACAAGGTCAACAGAATAAGAAGCAAAAGGTGGGTGTGGCTGGATGAGCACACTTCTGGTAACATGAGGGTGTGGCCTAATATGCCAATGACCTGTGCTGTCAGGCGTGTGGCCTAATATACTAATGAGTTTCTGTTGTTGGGTGTGGCCTATTATGCTAATGAGTCCTTGTTGGGCTTTATCTACAAAAAAAGCCCTGGGCAACGCTATGAACACAGGCAAGATCATGACAGGGAAGGCAAGAAGGGATGAGTCCGTAATGCAGATTACCACTTTGGGGCGAGGGGTCCTGGAGGTTTTCAGCCTTCCTCCGGGCATAGGGGTAGTTGTGAATTTTCTGCATTGTCCAGGGGGTTGGACTAGATGACCCACGAGGTCCCTTCCGGCTCTATGATGCTATGCTCTTAGGATTCCCCCCACACACCTGAAAATCTTACTAAACCCTCCCTCCCTCGGGATGAAACGGTTGTTTGTATATCGGGGAGGGGAGGGCGAGAGAAATCAGTGCTGGGGAGAGCTTGGAGTGGCAGAGGGGGTTAATTTTTCAAGGCAGCACCCACAATGGAAAGGATACCGATACAAACCTCGAATAAAGACCCTTAACTCTGCCTCTCTTATTGTAATTTTTGGTACCCTGTGTTGAGAAATGGATCAATATTTGTGTTTTGTGGACTGAGACATGCTAACACACTACATGAACTGTGCGAACACATGTATACCCACAGGCATTGAGAAAGCTGCCTGCATTACCTATCGTGAGAGATTTCACATAGGGAACACTTGCCTGCATTTCATGTTAATGAGGTTTGCACACATTCAGCTCAAGAAGCCTTATGGGAAAGAGAAGCACTTGTTAGCCATTGTTAGCACAAACAATAACTAAAGAGAGGTAACCCCACCATTGCTGAGAGACTCGCTGTCACGCAATCCACGTCTGGATCTACATCTGAATTGCCATTTCCTGGCAGATGTCGCTTTGATGGCCTGAGAAAGCCATCTATCTGCACATCGAGAATCATGATGCTGAGAATTCCGTGAGCCTCGGCGTATAGCCATGCTGGCCACGTGACCACGGAAACATCTTCAGACAGCGCTGGCTCTTCGGCTTGGAAACGGCTTGGTTACCTTCCCACCGAAGCAGTACCTATTTATCTACTTGCAATGTCTTGCTTTCAAACTGCTCGGTTGGCAGGAGCTGGGGCAAGAGATGGGAGCTCACTCCGTCACGCGGCACTTGGGTCTCCAACTGCCGAACTACCGACCTTCTGGTCGGCAGTTCAGCATCTTAACCACTGAGCCACCGCAGTACGTATCATTTTTACTGGAATTTTGTAATGTGATCATCTGTATTTGGCATATGACCATTTATTGTCATTGGTTTGTCTTTGTATCTGACGTTAAATTTTCAATAAAATCCTTAATAATAAAAAAAAAGGCAGCGCACACTCTGTGAATGCATGATGCCTACACTTAACTCAAGGACAGGAGCCCAGTCCAATTTAAATCCAGGTAGAATGTGTCGTTCGGGTATTCTCCAGGTCCAAAACTATAGCTAAGGGAAGCGGTGATCCAGGCAGAACTCAACAGCAATTTGATACGTTGGAGACCAGTAAAATGCCCCCCCCCCCAAGGTGGTCTCATACAACTGCCCATTTAGAGACAACACAAGAAAATGAGACCATTCCCACCAGTTGGCTGCCCCGCCTCTTTGTGAAGATTCCCACAAAACAAAGGTAGATCCCACCGATGCTGCCTCTAAGCCAGTGGTGGCGAACCTATGGCATGGGTGCCAGAGGTGGCACTCAGAGCCCTCTCTGTGGGCACACGTGCCATCGCCCCAGCCAGGCCCAGACCATCATTAAAGTGTCGAATTCTCTGCCAAATAATTTTAAGTCAATGAAAGCATTTGGGATTGCTTTCCTTACTTTGTTTGGATCATCTTAAGTTAATGTATGAGTTGTTTTTTCTAAAGTAAAACCTCAGTATTCAGGTTAAATTGCCGTGTTGGCACTTTGCGATCAATAAGTGGGTTTTGGGTCGCAGTTTGGGCACTCTCGGTCTCTAAAAGGTTCGCCATCACTGCTCTAAGCTGTGGAGTCTTGAGAGCAAAAATCCCACTTTGTGAGCGACTGGCATTAAAGTTGTGAGCGAGCGATTTGGCTGCTGCATCAATACGTTTGCTCTGGAGCCCTCCTTCCTGAGCTGAGACAAAAACGTGTGAGCCGGAGGCTAAAAAAACTGCGAGCTAGGCTCACGCTAACTCAGCTTAGAGGGAACACTGGATCCCAACCCCAGAAACGTATTCAGGATGGTGAAAGCCAAGGCTGACTGTGAAGAGCTTTGAGAGGACCTCCACAAAATGGTGAGTGGCCGACGATGTGGCAAATGAAGTTCAGTGCTGGGAAGTGTACGCTGATGCGCATTAGGAGAAAAAAAATCACAACTTCAGGTACGGGCTATGGGGTCTGAGCTTGCTCCCGTAATTTAAGCCTCTTTAGAATCAGCTTTTGTCCTCGGCGGGCGGCAGAGAACAAAACTTTTCAACTTCAAAAGTGCCCATCGGTCAACCTATTTAAGACTCACACCCATTATTGGATTGTCTCAAAACACACACGCCACAAGCAGTGTTCCCTCTAAGCTGAGTTAGTGTGAACTAGCTCACAGTCTTTTAGCCTCCGGCTCACACATTTTTGTCTTAGCTCAGGAAGGAGGGCTCCAGAGCAAACTAATTTATGCAGTAGCCAAATCGCTCGCTCACAACTTTAATGCCAGTAGCTCACAAGGTAGAATCTTTGCTCACAAGATTCCACAGCTTAGAGGGAACACTGGCCACAAGTCCACAACTTAATTTTTGAGCTGCCGGCTGATGTCGACGGCCGCTCGGACGCCGCGGTTTGTGGTTTCCCGGCAGGCCTTTAGATTCCCGCACGGCCAGTACGTAAAGAAAACACGACTCTCTCACACACAAAAACACAGAAT